GTGATAGCTGAGAGGTTCATTATCTATGAGTATAACAATAAGTGAATAGGAGCTGGTTTAATATGTCTATCTAGCAGAATGATGTCCATAGATTCTTCCCTCTGGTCTGTGACCTGTCTATTCTTCCCTCTGGTCTGTGACCTGTCTAGCCTCAGGTTCCAAGGCCTGATATCAGTGTGAGGCATGTCAAATTTCTGCCTCCCAAAACTCAGGGATCATTGCCAAAAAGGGGGTAGAAAAATTATAAGAGCCAGAGGTGGTGGATGACCACAAGGAAACAGAATTTCCTGATCATTTACTCATATGAATTCATAACAGTGGTGACATCATGCACAAGTCCCATGTAAGCTCAAGCCAGACAAAATCCCAGCATAGAAGTGGGGATGTGGATAGGAAATTCCAAGCCTAACTGAGGAACTATTGGCAACTGAAGTCTGTTGGGAAAGAAGAGTCAGTCTTCCTTAGGATGTGACTCTGGGTAGGTTAACCAGGCTCCTGTGGTTGGAACCACAGTGAAGAACACTGGGGGATACAAGTTTGACTTGATAGGCCTTAAGTATGTGAATATATATGTGTGTGCATATATATATATATAATGGAATACATGAAATCAGGTAAATAGTTGTAAGGGGAGATGTAGATAAGGGAGCAGGATCTAAATATGATTACAATATTTTGTATCTTCTGAATATGACAAGACTATTGCATTAATGAACTCTGTGGTGGCTCTGGTTGCCTACACAGGACCTGCATAAGACCAAGTCAGTCAAAATTTCAGCATGGGTGGGGAGGAGCTTATGAGGCCACACCCCTAGCTAAGAAGATACTGGCAGTTGAAAGCAGCTGGAGTAGGAAGAGTCAGTTTTCTTTAAGAATGTGGCTCCTAGAAGGATTCCATGTGCCAGTGGACAGTACAATACCCATGCCTGTATAAGCAGCACTGATTGGGCTTAGGAGGTTATAGAAAGAAGACATGAAATTGGGAGGGAGACATTGGAAATCTGTGAATAGTTGAAGTGTGGGAATAGGGAATGGATATGATCAAAATATATTGTATACATGTATGAAATTCTCAAACAATAAATTAAAATTTTAAATAAAAATAAAACATTTTTTAATTTTAAATAAGATAAAATTAAAACCCCAAAGAACTGTGATGTCCCTGTCTGCTGCAAAAAGAAGCTTCTTTGATGAGTGGTGTACAGTATGCTTGTGTAGATTGGATTGGTGCTACTTCACGTAGTATGGTAGTTTCTAGTTCCATCCATTTACCTGCAAATTTCATGATTCTGTCTTTCCTTACCACTGAGTAGAACCATTACCGTTTTGTAACTGTACCTCATTTTCATTATCTATTCATCAGTTGAGCAACATTTGGGTTGTTTCCATTGCTTAACGATTGTGAAAAGAACAGCAACACAATGAATGTACAGGTATCTCTACAGTAGGATGAGTCCTTTGGGTATATGCCAAGGAGTAATATAATTGAATCTTATGGTAGGTTCATTTTTAGTTTTTAAGAGTTCTCCACACTGCTTTCCATGGGGCTTGCATGAGTTTGCAATCCCACCAGCAATGAATGAGTGTTCCCCTTATCCACATCCTCACCAGCATTTGGTATCATTGGTCCTCTTGATCTCAGCCAGTCTGACTGGGGTAAGATGAAATCTTAAGGTAGTTATGATTTGGATTTCTCTACCTAAGAATGTTGAACACTTGTTAAAGTGTTCCTTAGTATTTTTATTTCTTCATTTGAGAACTCTCTGTTCAGGTCCTTAGCTCATCTTTTTATTGGGTCATTTATTTTCTCATTTCTTTGTTTTTTGAGTTGCACAACTGGTCACACACAAAGAATATGTGTCTGAGAGATGCCCAGCCCTAAGTGAAACCTTGACACTTAAGACTCATGGAACATAGCAGAATGGGGGTAGTGAGAATACTTATATATCCCTCAACTCTCACCAGCAAAGCTTCCTCATACAACAGAGTAAGATGCACACAGAAGACCACAACTGGCCAAAGTGTAGAGAATAAGAGAATGCAGAATTCATTTCCAAGGATAGGGCTCCTATATTAAACCTCACCCACAACCAGCTCAAGACCATTGTGAAAGAGGGGACAGAAAGATTGTAAGAGCCAGGGCTGGTGCATGAACATAAGGAAACAGCAGCTTTCAGGCCCCTGGGAATTTGCTCATATGAGCTTACAACAATGGTGAGAGCATGTACAAGACCCATGCAGACTCAATCAGACAAAAACCCAGCATAGAATTAGGAAAATGGGCAGCAGGCTCCAACCTTAGCTGAGGAACTATTGACAACTGATTACTGCAGGCTGAGGGAAAGTTGATCTTCTGTAAGGGAGTGATTCTAGATAGGCTGACTAGACTCCAGTGGATTAACTTGCACCAAAGGATATCTGAGTACAAATTCTTGACTGAATAAGCTTTATCACATATGACAGAATGTGTGAAATCCTGTTGGGGACTTATGGGGGTTTCAAATGGGGGAGGAGGTCTAAATTTATTGAGATCTGTTATATGAAATGCACAAAAACTCAATAAAAATATACATTTATAATAAACAAAGAAAAGTCTTGGAATCAAGGATAGTATATTCTAGAAAGCTATCAAATTACCTGCCAAAGTTAGCGTGCCAAGTATATTTTCAGATATGCATACCCACGAAAAGCTTTTCAACTGGCAATTTTCACTTTTCACCATTGCATTGAGCATCTCATTTATTAATAGGTTTAAATCCCATAAGCAATAGCTTTCATTTGAACAAACGTAGACAATATGAATGTGTAGAGCAAGTGCTATTCTTTGTTCTCCCCACACTTTCTTATCCACTCACAATACAGAAAGAAAGAGAGAGAGAGAGAGAGAGGGAGAGAGAGAGAGAGATACTAGTCTCAGAATGGAATTATACTTTCACATTTAGTTCCACATCTTTAAAAAATATTTTATTGAATTTTGAGAATTTATTACGATGTATTTTGATCAAATTCAGACCCTTCCCCTACCTCTACCCCCCCACTTTACTACCCCTCCACCCTTCATGTTCTCTATCACTTCCTTTAGAGGCCTAACCAGTCCGATTTGTGTTCCCCAAATGCTCTTTGCTGTGGGTCATCCCTTGGAGCCTGGTCTTAAAGGTCTTATCCTTAAAGAAAACACACTCTCTGTCTCCCAACAGTCATCAAGAACTAATAATTCCTGATCTAGGGCTAGGGTTTCTTGCTCTGTACCCAACTTCCAAGCTGGGAATTTGTCTGACTTGGGCTTGGGCAGGTCTTATGCATGCTGACACAAGCAACATGGGTTCATGTGTGCAACTGCCTTGGGTCCACAAGAACACGATTTTCTTATGTTCATCCATCACCTCTGCCTCTTACAATCTTTCTGCCCCTTCTTCCACAATGATCCTTGAGCCTGGGCATGAGGGTTGTGTTATAGGTGTCCCACTTATGGCTGGCCACTCCACAATCTTTTATTCTCTGCATGTTGACCAATTAGGGGGTCTCTATGTTAATTGCCATCTGCTTCCAAGAAGATGCTTGTCTCATGAGAATTGATAGATGTGCTAATCAATGGGTATAGCAATAACTTATTAGGTGTCAGCTTAATACTATGTCCATTTAGCAGAATGATAGAAGTAGGCGATCCCTCATGACCTGTGACCTGTCTAGCCACAGGTTCTTGGCCAGGATTACAGTATTGGGTGTAGGCTCCATATTATGAAGCGGGCCTTAAATCCAATCAGAAGGTGGTTGGTTACTCTGATTACATTCCTGGTAATACTACACTAGTAGGTATATTTTGCCAAGCCAGTTATTATTGTAGCTCGCAGAGTTCACTTCTGAGTAATGCAGTTCCACATCTTGATCTTCCTACTTAATAACTTTCTAAGGCAGTAATAAAGATATATTTGAGGCCGGGCGTGGTGGGACACGCCTTTAATCCCAGCACTCAGGAGGCAGAGGCAGGCAGATCTCTGTGAGTTCGAGGCCAGCCTGGTCTCCATAGCAAAGGCTACAGGGAGACCCTGTCTCAAAAAGACCAAAACAAAGATACATTTGATTCCTTGAGCCTGCTGTATAAGGTAGTACTCCATATAATAAACTACAAAATCTTTCTATTTCTCAATTGATAATATTTCAGGTTGCTCTTTTATACTTGTTTTAAACTGAGATTTATAGAACAACTTTGGATATATATATATATCCTAACATTCTATACATTTTATAGTAATAGTACTCATACATTTATGAAAATAATATATTATAATCCTGTGAGTATAAATTTCTAGAATAAATAACATATTTCACGTATACAGTTTAGCAGCAAAGGAAAGCTTTTTGGGGGTGAGTTTCTTAATCCCCCTGTGTGAGATGGACAATTTCTATGCAGTCCCAGTTTCTTGTCCTATTAGCAATTTTAATTACATGGTAAAATATGAAAGAAAATTTAAAGTAAATAAAACCACAGTAGTACAATACATGAAGGATATAAAGAGAAAGACTAAAGACAAAAGAAAATATTTAAGAGAAATGAGGAATTTCCTCAAAATGAGAAAAATTACATAAAACATAACCCTTCTCACCTTTTCCTGTTCTTACTTCATTCTTCAAAGGTTTGTGAAACCATTCAACTGCTAAAATTAAGTAATTTTTCAGTATTATTTTGAAATAGAAGAATTTTGAAACCCCAGTCTAACAAACAGTGAGAAATTTGCTCAGGAATATTTGTGAGAAAAAGATTAGTGTTTGAAAGATGAGAACATAATAACATGATAAAGGAAAGGAGAGACATAGAGACTAGGAATGTCATACCTATGTAGATACCGGTATCCATCGTGAATTACATCAATGAGTGTCATTGCCCCCAGTAGCTTTGCCTCACATGGATTAAAAGTACTGACTTGTAACAACAGGTTATTCACTAAGAACGAATGGAAATGAGCCAAGTCCAAGTGGAATAGATGGCACTTGAGAGTTTGTCAAGAGAATGCTTCCACAAAGCTCCTTCTGTTCATGAGTTTCCTCAGGCCCTGTTTCAGGTCTTTATTTCTCAAGCTGTAGATAAAAGGGTTTAACATGGAGGACAAAACTGTGTAGACAATCATAGCCATGTGATCCTTGACAGTGTAAGTGGACACAGGCTGTAAATAGACATAGAAGATGCTTCCATAAAAGAGGGTAACCACAGTGAGGTGAGAACCGCAGGTAGAAAAGGCTTTGCATTTCCCAGCAGCAGAAGGAATCTTGAGAACTGTTAGGAGAATTCGAACAGAAGAGAAAGCAATGCATAGAAGAGGGGTCACCAAAACAACAGTTCCTTCCGTTATTATCACAATCTCATTGACAAAAGTGGAGGAGCAAGACAGTTTCATTAGAGGGCTGAGATCACAGAGAAACTGGTAGATTACATTTGGAGCCACAAAAGGTTAGACTATTCAGCAAAAGTGTGTGCAGGAGTGAATGGAGGTGTGGAAATGAGCAGGAAAAGGTCACCAGCAGGACACAGCAATGATGGTTCATGATAGTGACATAGTGGAATGGATTACAGATGGCCACATAGCAGTCAAAAGCCATGACTGCCAGAAGACAGCTGTCACCATTACCCAAGGCATAGATGAAATACATTTGTGTCAGACACCCAGCATAAGAGATTGTTTTCTTTTCTGACAAGAAATTTGCCAGCATCTTGGGGACAACAGTTGTTGTGAAGCAAATGTCAGTGAAAGAAAGGAAAATCAAGAAGAAATACATGGGAGTCTGGAGATGAGTATCAGAGCAGATAACCGGAATGATGAGCAAGTTCCCTGCTATGGTGACCAGATAAATGGTGAGGAAGAAAAGAAAGAGTGGCATTTGGTCCTCAGGCCGAGAGGAAAGTCCCAGGAGGATGAAATCAGAGACACTGCTCGTTTGGTTGACTCTTTCCATCGACTTGGATTCAGTGTTATACAAGAAGCTTTGTTACTTAGCACACTCTAATTCTGTGATCCAAATCATGAGAACCCAGGAATTCTTAATTTCATCTCTCTGGTCACAGGTAGCTGTTGTGCATGGACAGCTTGTCAGTCTCATGAACTTTGATATATTTCTCTCACCAAATTTTGGATATTGCCCTGGCTTCACAGTGGAAACTGGAGGGACAGAAGAACTTTCCTTTAGAACCTGTGAAGGGTAGATCTCTCTCATTCTGATTTTTCTCATTATTTTGTTTTATATTTGACTAACATGTACTAATTATACCATGCACTAATCAAATCCAGCCTCTCTTTACCCACTGTCCCCACCATTTGTAATCACCAGTATAAGTTTAGATCAAGAACAGTATGATCATTCCAAACAAACAAACAAACAATGCTCTGAAAGCACATCTACCATGATTCACCTATTCAACTTCAACTTCTGAGTATACGTCCAAATCAAGGAGATTAACATATCAAAGAGATATGTCCCATATGTCCCTATTTACTATGGTAGGGTTCACAAGACCTAAAATATATATAATCACTCTAGAGGCACATCAGTGGGTGAACAGATAAATTGTTACATGTATAAAAGTATATCCATATAGAGAGATCATTTATAAACATGAAACATTACTCAGCTGAAAATGATTCAAATTTATGAGTTCTCATTCTGTGAAATGTAGTGTTCCCTTGATGAGAACATACCAATAACACAGGCAAGTCTTATTATTATTATTATATGAGCAGGGTCCCAGGAGCCTGTAAGACTCTACTTCCATATGGTCATGTACCTCCTCCCCTGGCTCTTAAAATCTTTCTGCCTCCTCTTCTGCAATAGTTCCTGAACTCTGGGTTCATAAATTTACAGAAATGGTGACAGCATGTCCAAAAATCATGCAAACTCAAACCAACAAAAACCCAGTACAGAACTGTAGAAATGCACAGCAGGCCCAGATCTTGACCAAAGAACTACTGGGCAGTTGATTACTACTCAATGAAGAAGAGTCCTTAAGAGAGTGACTCTGGATAGGCTAAAAAGACCCCAGTGGGTGAACCTTCACTGAGGGACATCAAGTGACACTAACGTGACTCAATAGGCCTTAACATAAGTGACAGAATGCATGAAATCCAGTGGCGGGTTATGAGAGGGTGCCGATGGGGAAGGGGATATAAGGATGATAAGATGCTGCTTATGAAATACACAAAAATATATTGCATGAAATAACAAAAATTCAATAAAATTTTCATAAAAACATATAAAAATTTTAAAGACTAACAATCTAAGTATTGAGGAAGATTAGGAGCACCTAAAACTCTTTTAAATTGAAAATGAGAATATAGATTATAAATGTTCTCTAGGATGCTACCCAGTGGCGTTAATATTTGTTTCTCCTAATCAATATTTTGCATCTTTGGTTCATGTATATGCAGTTATACTCCAGAGAATTACTTAATATATATGCTTACTGCCAGGCGTGGTGGCACATGCCTTTAGTCCCAGCAGTCGGGAGGCAGAGGCAGGCAGATCTCTGTGAGTTCAAGGCCAACCTGATCTACATAGTGAGTTCAAGGCCAGCTGGGGCTACAGGGAGACCCTATCTCAAAAAGACAAAAAAAATTATATATATAGTAGGATGATGATACATGATATATGCTTACCAAATGATATTTACAAGAATATTCGTAGAAACTATCCATAATAGGCCCACACTAAAAAAAACTTAAGTAAATGTCAATCTATACTACAATGAATTTAAATATTTAAATCATGTTATGTTTATATAATGAAGTTCCAAATAAAATAAGAACAAAAAATAATCACTAAACCTTGGTGAAACTCACAGACATAATATTGAACAACATCTCAGTGTTAGTAGCAAAAACAGTGAGTCTTTCTGCAAGGAACAATATATTCTAAAATGAAATGGAGATCTTTTTTAAAGGTTAAAAACTCATTCAATTTTGTGTCTTACAGGGCTTATACTGAGTTCAATATTGTATAACTGTATTAATTCAGCTGTGAACCTAGAAACTTACAGCCACTTGTGAAAGAGATGTACTCTTGCTCTGGAGTGTGTTACTGAATATGTTAAAGCTGTAATGAAATGCTTCTTCTAATCATGTACTTATTTAAAAATTTTAAATAAGATAAAAGTGATAAATTGATTCATGTTGAATATAAATATTCTGCTCCACAGTACATACTCTAATTGCACATAATAAGAATAAACACAGAGATGAGTTAGAATATCTACCAAGGTACTTGAACTAAGACAGTGCCAAATTCTGGCGAGCAACAGGGAATTCATCTCTGCTGTCTCCTTGTCAGCCATTTACCCAAGTTTTCTCTTTTAAGTCACAGGTTAAAATGAAAGGACTGACAGTAGCAAGTACAGGGCAGCATCCAAAGTTGACAGATGAGAGAAAGAGTCTTTGGAAGCCTACAAGCGGAACAGAAATCCCATTTGAAAGCAGTAGTGCATCTCTTCTCCTTGGAGATTTAAAGAGAATAGATAATTACAGTCTCTAATAATTAGTCTATCTTCCTACTGCTCAGAACTCTTAGGCCTCTAAGCCTTGTAAATATTCCCCCATGTGCCACCTCTAGGCTTTCCAGTTCCACTTATTGTGACTCTAAAAGTCTACCCTACAGATGCCTATAATCCTAGATTTCATTTCCACTCCATAAGAGGAAAAGGCTGATTCTCTAGAAGGGGCTGGGATGTGAATGGTTGCAGAACCCCAGAGCTCAATATCAAGTGAGAATGGCTGAGAACAGTTGGTAAGTGCTGAATCATATGGACCGCAGCTCAAGGGTGGGCTTTCTATTTACACACTAAGGCCTGTCTGAGACCAATTACTCCACTTCTTTAAATCGTGGTTTCCTTATTTAAAGAAAAAGAGAGTTTATCTTCCAAAAGCGAAAATCCAAAGGGGTAAGTAAACACTTTTAGCACAGGGCCTAAGCAGAGCTCAAGAGTCAATTCCTGTTAACTCTTCTTTCTACTGATAACTGTGGCCATGACTGTGACTACTTATATTTTGTCATTTTATACTTTGCTAGTTAATGACAGAAGCAGGGTTTACTCTCAGGTCTGTTTTACCCCTTAGTCTGCACTTTTGAATAATAAATCATTTCATGTCTTCTATAAAGGAGAAAAGTGTCAAGAGAATGAAATTAAAGTAGAAAATTGAAAGCGATTACTCTCTATTTTTGGAACATCAGGGGAAAAAACACCACTTGACTGGTCTTCTCTCCAAGTTTGTTTATTAATTTTTTTGAGATTTTGTACATTGCATACAAGAGCTCTTAATCGAATTCAGACGCCCCCTCCTCATCCTTGCCCCCCACCCCCCATTGGACCTCATGTATTCCTCATGTTAAGTCCTATCCATTAGTCTGTCCTTTGGTGAAAATTCATCCTTATACACAGTGTGATGCATACAAAAGCCCACAACTGGCCAACTTTTAAAGAATAAGAGACTTCACAGTGTGTGTCCCGGGGTAAAACTCCTATATAAAACTTCTCCCACCCACAGCTCAGGGACTATTGTGGAAGAAGGGGCAGAAAGATTGTAAGAACCATGGCTGGTCCATGAACATAGGGAAGTAGAGGCAGGCCACTGGAAGCTTGCACATATGAACCTGTGGCAATGGTGGTATCGAGCACAAAACCTATTCTGACTCACTCAGGCAAAGGTCAAGTTTGTTTTAATTTTCCCTCTGTAGACATATCTCAAAGGTCAAGAACAAAGATGTAGTAGACAGGATATTGTACCACATGAATTTATCTTCAGAACCTAAACTCACTGAAAAGACAGCCCAGTTGACAGGATAGATTCACCTGACCATGGATCATCTACCTGTGGTCATACTTAATGCAATTCCTATCTTGCTCACTTTTCTCCAGCCACAACAGACCCTCCCATATGGAAAACTGTCATATGTGCTTGGCAGTTTAAATTCTTACTATTCTTGCTTCTATTCTTGATAGCTGATTACTACTGTAGCTCCAAAATTAGATTTAATTTTTTTCAAGAGCTTTTTCTGAACTCTAAATAGATGTTCTAATTATACTTCTTGAGTGGTACCACCATAGCCCTCCTTTTCAATGCTAATTCAAGCTTCTGACCATACGTCTACCTGTTTTTGTTTATCAGTCTCCTGAGTTAGCTTGTAAACACAAGCTGTGCTTGTTTGAATTCACCTTAGGTATTCTTTCAGCACAGGTATTTCTGCAATCAGACAATAAATAAGTGCTGAAAACTTACAAACATGTCACCCTAGACCCACGGTGGAAAATTCTAAAGAGTAGATATAAGGCCTAAGGCTAAGTAAATTCTTCATTGGGTAAAACACTTGCAGCATGGTCTGAGGACCTGAATTCGATTCCCAGAACCTGTGTAAAGCCAGGCACAGTAGTACACGTCTGTAATCCCAACACTCCTATGGAAAGACGGTAGATAGAGACATGAGAATCACAGTACCTCACAGGCCAGTCTGGCATACTTAGAAATGAAAAGTCTGTCTCAAATAAGGACAGACACCAGAAGTTATCCTCTGTCCTCCACACATGTTCATGTGTGGATCTGCACTCATATACACAAACACGCACACAGGGTAAAAACAAATATTTATATTCTGAAACAAGGTTACTTTTCCAAAACAGTTAACAAGCATCTGTGGTGCCTACACAAAAAATGAAAGTTCGCCTGCCTCCAGATGTGGAATTACATCATAGATGAAATTACAGTTTTGGTAGAAGGTGAATGGTGGCACGTACCCTTGTTAACTGGGGGGTTTCCAGCTGGTCATTTTGCCATTCTGTTTGCTGGTCTGGTAAGATGGGGAAGAGATGCATTACATACAGTTAGTGTGGACCGAATGTTATGTCATGGGTACACAGTCCACATATTACAATCGTTATTTCTACTCCTGTGTATTGGCTCTGAAAACTGATTGTTTCCATCTCTCCTCTTCTGAAAATAATAATCAAAGAAGACAAGAAATTGTGAGGGGGAAACATGAAGAGTTGGAAAGAAATGTAAATGCAATACTTACATATGAAATTCTCACATAAAATTTAAATTAAATATACGTTAATATTATAGTTGGGATCCCAAATGTTCAACAAAGCCCTATCTGTTAAAGGCTTATCCTCGGGTTAGCGCTATTGGGAGATGGTGGAACCCAAGAAGAGGCTCTCAGTCAGAAGTTTGAGATCATGGGGCTTGCAGAGGATTATTGGATCCTGGTCTCTTCCTGTTTCCTTCTTTCATGTCCCAGCCATGAAGTGAACAGTTTTGCTTCTGTCACCCACATCCTGACATGATGTGCTACCATGCCACTCAGTGGAGACCACCAACCATGGACTGAAACTGCGAAACTTCTCTTTAGTAGATTAGTTCAGTATTTATTCTAGTGGCATAGAGCTAGCATGGTGTGCATAATCATGACCAACTCATAGGTTTCTTTTGAGTCTCAGTCAAATAACAAATAGAAATGTAACACTCTAATGTCATCTTTATTTTGTGCCTTTGTTTCCATCCAGACAACATAAAAACATAGCTGAAGTGTCATCTTCCACGCTGTGCTTTTGTTTTCGTCCTCATTTTTATTAGTTCTTTGCGAATCTCATACAATGTATTTTCATCATATTCTCCTCAGTTCCTCCTAGAGCCACCCTCACCTCCCTACCCACCCAACTTTGTATCCTCCTTTTTTAAAGCCCTTTTTCTGTTGCTTATATATTCTTGGGTGAGTGGCCATCCACTGAAGCATGGTTGACCTACTAGGGGTCATACCTTTAAAGAAAATTGGATTTCTCTTTCCCAGTAGCTATCAATTGCCAATAACTCCTCAGCTAAGGATGGGATATCTTGAAAACCTTTCATCTCCATGCTATGATTTTGTCTGGCTTGAGCCTGAGCTGGTCATATGCATGCTGTCACAATTGCTCTGGGTTCATATGCGCAACTGCCCTGTTGTGTCTGAAGAACACTGTTTCCTTGTGTCGTCCACCACCTCAGACTCTTACAATGTTTCCACCCTTTCTTCTGCAATGACCCCTGAACCAAAGGAGTGATATGAGTGTCCCATTTCATACTGGGCATTCAGCAGTCTCTTATTCTCTTCCCATTGGCCAACTGAGGTTGTCTGTGTTACTCACCATCTACCACCAAAGAAGCTTCTCTGATGAAGAATGAGAGAAGCATGAGTCATTAGGAGTTAGTTTAATACTGGGTCCGTTTAGTAGAATAATAGTAGTAGATTCTTCCCTAGAGTCTTATGACCTGTCTGGTCATCAGTTCTTGACCCTGATAACAATGCCAGATTTAGGTTTCATCTTTGTGGAGCAGGTCTTAAAAACAACTGAGACTGATTGGTTATTCCCATTACATTCCTGCCACTATCACAGCAGTGAGCATGTCCTGCCAGTCCAGTCATTATTGTAGCTCACACAGTTCACATCTGGGTAAAACTGATGGTTACTTTTCTCTAATGCTAAAGTGCATAGATCCTAGCACTATGGAAGCTAGCCAATAGGAATGAAGCTTGATTTCTCCATGTTCTACGTCTCAAGCATGTGGTGTCTTCAGAGGGTCTATGGGACCTCAACGACCAACATCACTGAAAGAGATAACCCATTCCTGGCACTGAATTTTTATTTGTTAGCCTGTGGTGTCTAGTAGGGGCATTGTCACCTGCTATAGGGTAATGCCATTTAAATTTTTTCTATGTATATATTTTAGGAAGTTTCTACACTAGTAGGTTTCCATATGACTTTTTCCAAAGGTGTGAAGTATTGGTTATCCCTCCCTGCCTTCCCTTTTCTACCATGCCTTCCCATCCCTCATTCTGTTTAACTCTTCATGCTCCATTATTCCCTGTTCCCTCTTTATATCACTGTATCCTATCTCTCCTCCATTGAAAACCCATCCCTTACAGCCCCTTATTAATTTCCTGAACTCTATGGTACTCCAAATGAAACACACAAATCTAAAAATTCAAAGCTCATATTTACAAATTAGAGAAAATGTGACATTTGTCCTTCTAGGTCTGGGTTATCTCACTCAGAATGATTGTTTCCAGCTCTACCCATTTATCTGAAAATGTCATAATTTTATTTTTCTTAACAGCTGAATAATATTTCATTGTGTATTCATTGCAACATGAAGGCAGGAAACCACACCAATGTTCCAGAATTTCTCCTCCTTGGTCTCTCTGAGCAGCAGGAACATCAGCCTTTCCTCTTTGGCACCTTTCTGGTCATTTACCTGGTCACCTTAGTGGGGAATATGCTCATCGTCCTGGCAATTGGCTCTGACCCACACCTCCATACTCCCATGTATTTCTTCCTGGCCAACTTCTCCCTCACTGACCTGTGTTTATCATCTACCACAGTTCCCAGGATGCTGATGAACATTCAGGTTCACAGGCACGCCATCCCCTATGTTGAATGCCTTTCCCAGGTCTATTTCTTCCTATGGTTCATTGGCCAAGATGTTTTCCTCCTGGCAGTGATGGCTTATGACCGACTTGTGGCCATATGCTATCCCCTTCACTATACCTCGATCATGAGTCCCAGATGCTGCATCCTGATGGTGGTCATATCTCTGGTCCTTGCCCATTCATACTCTCTAACCCACACCATTCTCCTTGCTCAGTTATCCTTCTGCATGGACAATGTAATTCCTCACTTCTTTTGTGAGCTACTTCCTCTATTGAAGCTCTCTTGTTCCAATACTTATGCCAACCAATGTGTGCTGATGTACTGGGGAGGGGCATTGACTCTTTTGATTCCCTTGTTAATTATTGTTTCCTATGTTCGCATTGTGGCCACCATTGTAAAAGTCCCATCAGCAAGCAGGAAGTGGAAGGCCTTCTCCACCTGTGGATCCCACCTCTCAGCAGTTTGCCTGTTCTATGTGTCTGCTATTGGAGTATACTTCATTCCGTCTGCAGCTGATTCAGCCAGCAAGGACAAGATTGCAGCAGTAATGTATGCTGTGGTGACACCAATGCTGAATCCATTCATCTATAGCCTGAGAAACAAGGACATGAAGAGTGCCTTCAGAAGATTCCTGAGCAAGAGGGCACTGCAATCTCCACAAGGCTAAAGACATGATTTGGGGAATTCAGGAGAAATCAACTTATAGGATTAGCTTGGTACCTAAGTTCAAATTTTGGTCCTTGTACTTACTAACTTTACAATCTAAATTTTAAAAACTTCCTACAGTTACAATGCTTTCACCTAATAAAAGAGGAGTAGAAACATAGTGTGTATTGAAAATTGTATTAGTAACTTTTCTGTTGCTGGGATAAACTACCATAACCAATGCAACTTATGGAAGAAATTATTTTGGTTTATGGTTCCATAGGGATGAGTCCATCATGCTGGGGATTCATGGCAGCAGGTAGGCATGGCAGTAGAAGCCAAAAGCTAAGAGCTCACATCTACAACCACAAACGTGAAGGAAAGAACAACTGGAAGTGTGGCCAGGTTATGAACTCTGAAGAGTCCATGACCTCCCAAGCAGTGCCACCAACTGGGGACAAAGTGTTCAAATACTTGAGCCTATGGAAAATATTTCTTGTTTAAACTAATACATAAAAGTTTCTCATGCATTTTCAATGTCTCACAGAAGAAGCTCTGTAACTTGCACTGCATTTTCTATTGATTTCATCTCTACATAACTAGCCATCTATTGATATCTCACTAATAAAATACTATATTATAAACACATATTCACAAGTAACTATAGCTCCCACCACACATCAAAGAAGCTTCTTTTTTACAATAGATGGGGACAATGACAAAGTTCTACAGCCTGTCAAAATAAGTTACCATGGAGAGCCCAACCCCAATTGTTAAGTCTACAATGCAATGATGTTCAGGGAACATCAGGGAAGAGCGGGAAGAAAGATTATAAGAACTGGAGGAACAGTAAAATTGTGTCTTCCAACATGACAGTGAAGCTACATACATGAAATCTCAACAATATGGTTACAAAAATAAACCCTGGATGATGACAACACCAGTTGAAAGATCAATGTGAATGGGAAATTTCAAAAGATGAAGGACTACAGGCAATCAAGGGCAGCTGAGGGATGGCAAATCCATTTTCTTAGGGACCAGTTCCCTGATAGGTTACCCAGTCCCAAGTGGAGCATACATTTCTCTTTTGTTTTATATAAAATAACTTTTAATATCAGGGTGAAATTTTATAATGCATGAAGATCATTCATCTTTAGTATTTGATCATCTTACAGGATGAGTACAAAGTCTAAAGGTTGGACTTTGATGGCACTACATACCCTATACTCCTTCTAAAATTCTTACATATCCATATATACATAACCGTTTCATCCGTTTTTTGAAATTGTTATGATTTAAATTTTTCACGTGTATGCATTTTTAATTATTTTTCAATGTGTCTTTCTTAGAATTTTTGTATATTTCATACAAAATACCTCAATCATATTGAGACCCTCTCCTCTATCTGCACACCCCATAAAACCCCAGGGGATTTCATGCAGAATCTGTCATACGTGTTAAGACTATTGAGTCAAATCTGTGTACCCAAGATGTTCCTCACTTCCTCAGTGCAAGTTCATCTAGACTCTTTCCTTAAAGGCCAACTCTGCCTCTCTTAGCAGCAATAGTTCTTCAGTTAAGGTTGGGGCCTGCTGCCCATCTCCCCAGTTCTATGCTGGTGTTTTCTCTTAATGATTTTTCATGGGTCTTGTGCATGCTGACACCATTGCTGTAAGTTTATATGAGCAAGTCCCCAGAAGACTCTGTTTCCTTATGATCATGCACCAACCCTGGCTCTTACAACCTTTCCACCCCCTCTTCTGCAATTATCCCTGAGCCATGGGTGGGTGAGGTTTAATACAGGAGTTTTATCCATAGACACACTTCCTGCAATCTCTTATTCTCTACACTTAGGTCAGTTGTAGCCTACTATGTGCATCCTACACTGTAACATGAGGAAGCTTCACTGGTGAGAGTTGAGAGGTGTATTAGTATTCTCTCTACCTCATGTTCCCCTATGTTCCAGGAGCCTTGGGTGTAGAAGTTCCATTGTAATTTGTTGATTAGGACTGGGCATCTCTCAAACACATATTCTCTCTGTGTAACCAGTTATGGAACTCTATATCAGTCTTCAATAGCTCCCAGACTAGGGCTGACCCACCACCCATTTCCCTTGTTCCACTATCGGCCCTTGTCTGATTGACTTGGCATGGGTCCTGTGCTCGATGCCACCATTTCCATAGGTTCATTCATACATACAAGCTTTCAGTGGCCTGAAAGCCTCTGCTTCCCTATGTCCATGGAGAACCCTGGCTCTTACAATCTTTCTGCTACTTTTCCACAATGGTTCCTGAGCCAAGAGTGGGAGAGGTTTGATGCAGGAGTCCTATCCAGGGACACACACTCTGCAGTCTCTTATTCTTTAAAAGTTGTCTAGTTGTGGCCTTTTGTGTGCATCATACTCTGTTGTATAAGGAAGCTTCACTGGTGAGAGTTGAGGGATACACTGGTTTTCTCTCTACCCCCATTCTGCTATGTTTTATGAGATTAGGTGTAGATGTTCCACTGTACATGCCACCTAGGACATCTCTCAGATGTCTCTATGTCTAACCAGTTGTGGGGTTCTGCAGTAGCCTCCATCTGTTGCAAAAAGAAGCTTCTTTGATGAATGGTATACAACTTAGTTGCCTGTAAATATAATGATCCGTATTTAGCATATGGGAAGAAATTTCATTTGCCTGGAGATATGACAGAGATAGGGTTTTCTCTAGGATCTATAACACCTCCATCCATATGTATTTGCCACCTGTGAGTTCACTCCCATTAAGAAGGCTTTAAGTCCAATTAAATAGCTGTTTATTATCAACCCCCCATAATAGTGCCACTATCACACCGGTAGAGATAGTTTGCTCTGCTGATCCTTATGATTATTAGGCTTTAGAGCTGGGTTTCACCATTGATTGATTTTCTCCCTTGGCAGCTTTCATAGTATCCTCCAGAACTATGGGAGTTAAACTTCAGGTAGAAGGCTTCCAGATCAGTTTCTTCTCCATTGCTCCAAGTCCTACATTCAAAGTATGTCATGTCTTCAGCAGTAGGATCTTATCTTCCAGTTCTGGGAGATAATCAAGAGCTCTGGCAATAGCCTGTGTTATTTGGGGAGTTTTTTGGACCACTCTGACCAGCCACTCCAAGGAAGTCTCTCCTGCCTGGCACTGTGTGTATGTAGGGGCTGTATGTCAAGAAACACAGTGCCAGGCTTTTCATGCTCAAGATTTCTTTGGCTATCTGGAGTCTGTTGTGATTGCATATGAGTTTTAGGATATTTTTTAATTCTGTGAATAATGTCATGGGGATTTGATTGGCATTGCATTGAATCTATATATTTCTTTTGGTAGGATGATGTGCTGAATAGTTTTAGTCGTCAACTTAACAGACCTGGGTAGAGGGGGGCCTCAGTCGGGGAATTTCTTCCATTGGACTGGCCTGTGGCCATGTGTGTGAGGTATTGTCTTGACTGTTGCATGATGTGACAGGGCCCAGTCCACTGTGGGTGGTGCCACTCCTGGACAGGTTCTCCTGTATTGTATAAGAAATCAGGCTGAGCATGCATCAGGGGAACAAGCCTCTAAGCAGTGTTCCTCCATGGCCTGTGCTTCATCTCCTGCCTCTAAGTTCCTGACCTGAGTTCCTACCTTCGGCTCCCTAATGAACCATGATCTGGGATATGTAAGCCAAATAAACCATTTTCCTCTACAAGGTGGTATTGGTCAAAATGTTTTGTCACAGTAACTGAAAGCAAACTAGAACACATTGTCATTTTCACAATATTAATGGTACCAATTCATGAGTATGGGAGATTTTTCCATCTCTTGGTGTCTTTGATCTCTCTCTTCAAAAATTTAAGATTTTTCATTTTTCAGATCTTTAATATTTTTGTTTGTATTTTGTCTTAGTTTGTTTCTCCATTGCTGTGACAAAACACTCTGACCAATACCAACTTGGGGAGGAAAGGGTTTATTTAGCTTACATATCCCGGGTCACAGTTCATCCAGGAGCCCAAGGTAGGAACTCAGGGCAAGAACCTGGAGGCTGGAGCTGGAGCACAGGCCATGGAGGTATGCTGCCTACTGGCTTTCTCATGCCACACAGGCCCAACTACCCAGGGGTAACACCACCTACAGAGGGCTGGACCCTCCCCCATCACTCATCAAGAAGATGCCCCTCAGACATGGCCACAGGCCAGTCCAATAGAAGCAATTCCCCAACAAAGGCTCCCTCAACCCAGGTGTGTCAAGTTGACACTAAAGCTATCCAGCACATATTTATTCCTAGATGTTTTATATTTTGAGGCTATTGTGAATGAGAATGTTTCCATGAACTCTTTCTGTGATTGCTTATTATTGATACATAGAAAGGTTATTGATTTTTGTAAGTTGATTTTGTACCCTACCACTTTGCTGAAAGTTTTGATCATTTCTAGAAGTTTTCTGGTAGAATTTTCGGGATCTCTTAGGTAGAGTATCATCTGCAAATAGGGATAATTTGACTTCTTCTTTTCCAGTTAGTGTTCCTTTAATTTCCTTCTCTTGTCTTATTGCTCTAGCAGGAGTTTCAAGCACTGTATTGAAAAGTAGAGATAGTGGACAGCCATGTCTGGTTCCTAATTTTATTTTTTTTCTTTAATGTATATTTTTATTGAGATTTGTTCATTTCACACAATAAATCTTAATAATATTTTGACATACTCTCCCATCTGCACCCCCATAAACACCCCCCACTGGACTTCATGAATTCTATTATATATGTTAAGACCTATTCAGTCAAGCTTTTGTACTCAAATGCACTTCAGTGTAAGTTCATCCACCGGAGACCAGTCACCCTGTCTAGAGTAACTGCCTTAAAGAAGATCAATTCTCCCTCAACCAGCAGTAATCAGTTACCAATAGTTCCTTGGATAGGGTTGGGGCCTGCTGGCCATTTCCCCAGTTCTATGCTGGGTTTTTGTGTGATTGAGTCAAAATGGGTCTTGTGCAATTTGTCACCATTGCTGCATGACTATATCAAGTTCCCAGGGACCTG